GGCTTAATACCGAGTGCAAAGGGCAGGGGAGCTGCCACGATAACAGGGCTGGCTGCGGCGGACTTGGCGTGAGCGGCTGTCACGGCTCTGACCTTCCTATTTCCAATGGACTTGTCATTGGGGCGGGGGGAAAAACCCCACCAGCTCCTGCTGGGGACCTGACGGCTGTTGGTGAGCCAGGATTAGCTCGGGACGGGGTGGGAAGAGGCAGAGGACCGGCAGGAAAGCACCCTCACAGGGTGCTGTGTCCCCCTCTGCTCGGGGGGTGCTGGCGGAAGCAGGAGAGGCCGAAGCCACAGCGAGGAGCAGGGTGGGGAGGGCTGCGAAGACTCCGGGGGTGTTTAAGGCGATGCTGACCGCATCCCAAAGGGGCCGTAGGAGACGGCGGTGGGGGGCTTTGCGTGCAAGTTTGGGCATGTAGTGGACTGGTGGAGGAGACTTCATGCAGCTTCTCCAGGTTTCCTTCTTGAAAAATACCCCTTCACAGCCTACATCAGTGACTTTGCAGCACTTTTAGTGCTATTTTAGGCCTATTTTTAAATGCCAAACCAGTCTCACAGAGCTGCCTGTGCCTTGGCAGGATTTGTTCACGGGTTCATCAAGAGCAAAGCCCATGTTCTGCCGCTGGCTGTTGCACAAGGCAGAGCAAAGCCCACAGGCCCAGGGCTCCGAAAGCTGTGCCACAGAGAGGTACCAAAACAGCCCGGGCCGGCTCCTGGGGGAAGGAGTGGGTTGTTTTGGTTTGTTTTTTAACTATTTTTGTTGTTGTTGTTTTTTTAAAATGGCCTTTTGGACCTGTGAGAGCTGCTCCAACTTTCTTTTAAGAGGAACACCCCCCACACACCTGTAACTCAGTGGCTGAAAAATCCCATTGACACTGGCAGATGGAGCTGTGTGGCTTTGGTGACACGCTAAAAGCTGGCGCTGGCTTTTGTCACACACCTCGGCCAGCCCGGCCTGGCACTTGGCTACAATGCCAGACTGACGTACGTGCATGCTCATACACATTAGTAAAGATGGCTTTTTGGGGTTTAATTAGATGTTGATGAAGCTTTGTCTAAACAAGGTTCCAGCCACCCTTGGCGCGGCCCTGCCAAGCAGCTCAGCATCGTGCCCCTGCGGTGCTGGGCAAGCGGAGCTGCGAGGAGCGGGGTGCAGGGGGCTGCTGACGCTTGTCCACCCGGGCTTCCCCGCAGGGCTGCACCGCAAGTACCGGGCAGCGACCGGCTCCCCTTGGAGCAGTTCCCCTGCCAGGCAGGGTGAGAGGGGCTGTACTCAGCGTGCTGCCCCCAGGGAGAGCTTGGGGAGAGAAACTCGGCCTCCCAGGCACCGCGTTTGGCTTTTACGCAATCCGGTGTGGGGTGGTTTTGCCCCAAAAACACAACACGCAGAACTTGCAAGCAGCACAGAGAGGCCTCGCCAAGTATGGGGGCTGCTGGGGCGGGAGCGCTGCCTGTGCGCTGCCTGCACGGTTGGTGTTACAAAACAAACGAGTGTTTTGCTTGGACCTCTCAGCACAACAGGAAAAAAAAAAGTCCCCAAACAGAACTGATGGGAGAAAGATGAGAAATTCCCATCATAACAAGCACACTCCCCGCCCAAATCTCTCCCCCACTTGGCTTCCAGCACCACCCCCACTTAACGCCCTTCCCCGGGCATCTGGATCACAGGGAACACCCGGAGCGAGTGCCTTGGTGCAGGGCTGGGATGCCAGCTGCTGCCTGGAGCCCTTGGAGCCTCCGTCCTCCGCAAGCCCAAAGGCAGCGACGCGGCTGAAACGTGCATCTGGGTCCGAGATGCTTTTCCCCGGGAGCCCACGGCCCATGGGAGCCAAGCGGTGTCACATGCGGAGAACAAGAAGCGCTTACCTCATTCGTGCTTCCCTGGGGAGAGGCATTGGGAAGGAGGAGACAGAAAAAGAAAATAAAAAAAAAGCATCTCTGTGTATCACGCACATCCATGGGAGCGCACGGTGCTCACGCCTCCGGCCACCGCCGCTTGCTGGTGCCCCCAGGGCCGTGTATTCCCAGGGGGGCTCGCCCCGCACAGGCTGCCCCTCTTGCAGGCCCCCTCACAGCTCCGTCCACCCGGTCCC